AAAAACCAGAGCAGGCGAGCCTGCAGCTGCTACGTGAGTCAGTCTGTCACACTCCACAGCAGCCTGACTCAGGTAGTGACTGGAGATAGCTTTGGCAGATTAAACTCTCTACACTTACCACATCTGTGGCTGTATAATCTGAGTTTCACTTAGCAGAACCTAGTCGTCAGATGTGCGCGGGCGTCGGATTACAATGACGGCTGGTCCAGATAAATCCTCTTGGGCTTTGGGGAAACGTGACGCAGAGAAAGCCAAGAAGGACAAAGCTCTGTGTGCGGCTAAAATCTCTCAAATCAAACAATTCTTCTTTTTTCTGTTACATTTTCCTTAATTTTTTGTTAATATGCACGGACCGCAACATCCTAAAAGGCTCAACTTAATGCTCCGATGTCTGAAGTGTGTCTCAGCAGGGCAAATTATCATCTTGACAACTCCCCCACCCCTCTCGAGTCACAAGCAGCTTTTCACACAGAGGGGAAAAAGTAATGGAATTCCTTCTTGCTCAGTGAAACTGAATTTAAAACAGAAATAGCAAAAGAAACGGCAGCAGTGGCAGCAGCAGCAATCAAAAAAAAATTCTGGTTGGTTTATAGAGAAGTAAAGGATCAAACAAACGAGGATGTAGGTCAACTTGGGCAGGCTGAGCAGTGCTGTGACAGATGCCAATGCAGAGGTCAAGTGAGAAAAGGCCACACTGAAAATGCTTTAAATGGTTGTAAGGCTGACAAGGCAGTCAAAACATGTTAGAATTAAAACAAAACATGGAGGAGAGACAATTCTGGTTTTGTTGTTTATGAAAAAAGAAATCAAACGGAGCGAAAACGCTTGTGTTGAAATAAAAGAGAATCTGAGGGTTATTAAAAACGGGTTACAATTATAACCCATGTTCAAAAAAATATATTGTGAATTCTGCTGAATATTTTTACTACAAGTCATTTTTAGAGTATCATTAGCATTGCTGTGATGTGTAGACTGACAATGTGCTTGAATTAAAGTGATATTTAAAATGTTTTCAAAAGGGGTTTTGTGAAAACATTATGAACAGTTAATATCTTAAAGGTTACAGAAAGCACTTTGAATGAGCTGTTTAGAGAAAGAGTTTAGCTCTGATCATGTTGACAAAGCTAACTGCGAGCTCAAGCAGGACCAGAGCAAAGTGGATTACTGACAACCAGTGTTGTTTTTGACTGCCATTTTGATTTTAGTTTTAGTCTTAGTCTTTTAGACAAAAATACTTCTTAGTTTTAGTCAGTTTTAGTCATTTCTATATTTAATGGTTTTAGTCCAGCTTTAGTCGACAAAAACTTTAAAATTTTAAGTCTAGTTTTAGTCTTTAAAATAAATAGAAAACATATTAGTCTTTACAAATTAATTTGAGTAATTTGTTTTAATAGTGGAATCAAATACTGGTACTCCAAAAATGCCCAAAACAAAAACATTCTCACTTTGTGGCTTTATTTCTCAAAATGTCCTCAACTGTGCAAGCAGGTAGACCCGTTCGTCCAATCCAAAGAGCAATCGCCTGTTCTTTGGCATGTTGTTCCTGAGAATCTGTTTTATATTTAGATCCTGCGGCAAAGGCTGCTGGTATAGATGACTGTGACCTGTCGTTCTTTGGACCACCAGGTTTCTCTTTAGGAGTTCTCTGGGATCTGGATGAGAAAAAAGCAAGGCGAGAAGATAATTATTCTTTCTGTATATACAATGTACACCTCTTGTAAAGAATCTATAAGTGAATATAAAATAATCAAATGTATGTATATCTTTAAAAAATTATTTATATGTCTATATGTACATATATTGTGCATAATGATTTGTGTCAACATATCTTACTAAATACCATGTTAAGAAAACAGAATGACTTTAGCTGTCAAACAAGCAAACAAAAAAATCTTTCTGATACGTTAATAACCAGATGAATAGCATCCACCCTGTCCTCCTTACGTAAGTCATCTGATCTTTCTATATTGTGCAATGGCCAAATTTCTAATGTATCTGTACAGTTGAGTTAGATTATTAAAAGTGCACTAGGGCTGTCTGATATTAGGAAATCCTGTGATGTGCAAGAACAGTGCATCATATTGCGATGATGATATGACTTGTGATAAATGAAAAAATACTTTAGTGCAGTGTTAATGTTTTTCTGCTCAGGGTTCAGAGCAGAAAAACAACACTGAGGTGCCCTTGTAGCTTTTAGTCTGAAGTACCAAACATTTAACACAGGCAGATGCTTTTGAAATTTGAATACAGCTAAATGTCAGCTTTACCTATTTTTTGCTAATTGGCATTAGATTTTCAATCCAGAATGACACTAACATAACCAGTATTTTTAATACTATTTTTCTTTTCATTAGATTGAAAACAGCTTTTTTGGGGGGGTATTTTTTACATTACTTTGTCCATTTTTCTTCTACCAATAAACACTCAATCTAAGAAAATGTATCTTTTCTCTTTTGCAAATGTTTTGATTCAATTTATTTATTTAAAATGAAGTATTTTTTGGCCCCCTAACACTTTTTACTGTAAACATTTATCAGACAAATGTTGGTTGTCTCATTTTAAAATGTAATGCAAGTAGCGTTTAGCTAAAATGGGTTTTTGGTTTAAAGGATGCAGACCCGACAGACACATGGGGTAACAGCAACAGGTTTGATATTCAGTCAAACACAACCTATCAGCCATACATCCCTGCATGTTTTACACGTAACAGTAGCCGACGTTAGATTAGCACAACAAACAAGCTAATAGCACGAAGTTAGCATCCACGTGCGCAAGCAAGGACAGGATTTATAAAAATAAAATTAAAAAAACATTAAGTTTACACGAAACTGGAGTTGTGAAATGTGTCACAACCCGTTTGGTTTGTCAAGTAACATTGCATGTATGTACATTACAAAAATAGTAGTTGTAACTAACTTACCTTGGAAAAAATATCAGGGTGGTGGTGAGCCTTCAGGTGCCGCTTAAGATTTGTCGTGTTTTTTCCACCAAGTTTAAATCCACATTTACCTCCGTCTCCCTCGACGATACATTCGGTTCTTCTTTCAGTTGGGTTAAATACAAAATAAATCCATAAATCCTTTCTGGGTTTGCGTCCACCGAGCCCCTTCGTAAAACGTGCAGCATCTGCCATGGTCCAGTTTGAAATGAAGTCAAAGGTGAGCGCGCGGTGCATCAGCGCGGTTGGGTAGCAGTGGGTGTGACCAATGGGCAGAAATATTGTGCATTCTAAATTATTGACGGACCACCGACAAACATTTTCGTACAGTCTCATCTCGTCAACGAAAACTCACACACATTTCGTCATGTTTTAGTCATTAAAGAGCAATGTTTATTTCGTTACCGTCTCATTATTGTCATGAAAAAAGGGGGCGTCGACGAAAAGTTTTCGTCATCGTCATCGTTAACGAAAACAACACTGCTGACAACTTAAGAAACTCCAAACCTTCAAACTAGGATTTCCACCCTCCACTTGCACATGGGTAAATAAGTTTCCTGTCCAACTGCAGTCAGAGGGTTCGAATGGGCCGTCACACAGCCATGGTCGTCAGCATCAGCACCGGAGCCCCCCAGGGCTGTGTGCTGAGCCCCCTGCTCTATGCCCTCTACACACGACTACACACCTGTTCACCACAGAAACACCATAGTCAAATTTGCAGATGATACCACAGAGGTGGGGCTCATCAATGGGGAGGATGAGTCAGCCCACAGGGACGAGGGGAACAACTGACTGGTTGGTGCAGAGGGAACAATTTGCTGCTCAACACCTCAAAGGCTAAGGTGCTGATCATCGACTTCAGGAAATAGAAAATGGCAGTCCCACCCCTGATTATAAGTGGAGACGGTGTGCAGAGAGTAGCTGACTACCGTTTCCTGGGAGTCCTTATTGAGGGGAATCTGAACTGGAGCGTGAACACCTCTGAGTTGCTGAAAAAGGCCCAGCAGATTCTGTACTTCCTGAGAGTGCTCAGGAGGAACAACATCACCCAGAGACTGCTGGTGTCTTTCTACTGATGCTCCATAGACAGCATCTTCACATACTGCATCACTGTGTAGTATCTTAGCTGCACAGTAGCTCAGGGGAAAGTGGTCCAGAGTTATCAACACAGCCCAGAAGATTGTGGGCTACCCTCTTCTCTCACAAGAAGATCTACACAGTTTCCGCTGCATAGAAAAAGCCCACAAAAGCTTTAAAGGACACGTCTCACCTCGGACATAATCTGTTTGAACGGTTATCATCAGGGAAAAGGTCCAGATCAATCAAGACAAGAGCAAACAGGTTTAAATAGTTTTTACTCATCAGCTGTTACTGAACTTAACAAAAGCTGTAATAAGAACCGAATAAGTGCAATAAGGGATAACTTGTGTATAATATCAATCTGCTTGTGTTGCACATTTGTAGTGTTTAAAATCTGTAACTATTACCTTTTATACAGTTTATATTTATTTATTTTTTTGTTTGTATTATACTGTTTTTACTTTTGCTCTGGGAAGCAAACGCAAATTTAGTTGTATTTAGGTGCAATGACAAAAAAGGTCTAATCTATTCTATTCATAGAGATTCATGCAAACACAAATTTATAAACCTCTACAATGGTTATAAATCCCCATTCCACGGTTATTCCATCAGAAAAATTGATATCTCTGCAGGAAGTTCTACAGCCACAATGTGCACATCCAAAAAAACCTTAAAATATTATATGACTAATTACATAATGAGACCGTGATCGCAAGGTAAAGATTTATTTAAATAGCCGTTCACAGAACTGTTTCAAATTTTTGCTTTATTTTGAAAGAACACTCAATATTAGTCGCTGATTAAGTGTTTTTATTTTGATATGAAGGCATCCACAGCTTCACATAGAAAGTTGCAGGACAGTCTTTAAACTAAGGGGCTCTCCAACATCATCACCTTTAAGGACGTTCATAAGCCTCGATTATAACTGGATACGGTAAATGTAAGCTGGTGCAGACACTTACTGTTTGTTTCTTTTGTGCAGCGTGGAACTGGACTTCAAGCTGCAGGAGGACAAGCTACAACCGCTAATGAAGAGGCTTTGCCCGACAGAGGATACGCACTTCCCGCCCCTGCCTTACCCCCAGGAGGCCTTCACCTCCACCCCAAAACGAAAGTCCAAAGCTGAGTCCAAGAAGCACGCTCGCTGGAAACTTTGGTTCCTGTGAGAACGACAGGACCATCCTCAAACCCTGCAACGAACGCACAGGATTTAAGAAACCACCTGGTTCTTCATCGTTTTCGCTTTTGTTTCTTCGCATCTTCTGGATTTTGTAAAGCTGGTATCCAGTTTTAAGGAGAGCTAAACATCTGGATACTCAGAGGTGTATAAAGAATGTGAACTGCATGGATAAATCATGCCAAACCAGTATGGAATTAGTCCCGTTTTCAACTAATTTCTCCAAATAAGGCGTGAAAATAACAGGGAAACGTGAAGTTCAGCAAGGCAAGGAGACAAATTCAACTCCTGCTGTCTCTACATATTTATTTTTTATAGCCGACGTTGACACGGCCCTGCTCTGCGATGATGGTTCAGGATCTACTGTATTTCTATTCATCAGCTGGGACCTTCTTCTTTTTCTTAGCCGCCAGGAGAGGTTGGGAGTTCGATACTAAAACTCCAACGCCTCCATAAACAGCATATCACTGTACTGTAAAGCACAATTAACACTGTTCAGGATTTCTCCAGAATCAGAAGAAAAAACTATTTTGGGTATTAACTTACACGGATCCATGACAGATTGAAGACTTTTATATTGAGCTAAAGAAAAGAAAGGACAACATGTCTGAGATGATTTTTTTGGGAGTGAATTTGATGATATTTCTTCTTTCCACTGATGAAATGTCTCCTTATAACATCTGAATTTGAAGAGAAGAATGAATAAATAACACTTATTTTCTTAATTATTTATGAAAATTTCAACGCTGTACTTTTTTTTTCTATAAGAATATATATCTATGTGTAGAAATCCACTTTAAGTTCATTAGAAATATATTTCGGTCGAAGGGAGAAGTGCAAAAGAGATATGGGATTTATTCTTCATGCATCATGTATCACAGCTCACATGGTCATAAAATCCCAATTGTTTAAGATGCATACTAGAGCCACATAAAGTACAGAGACAGACATAAACAAAAAAACAAAGAAGTGACGGAGGAACCGCTGTGATCGTTAATGCTGCAGCATCCTGCATCAGCCAGTCAAACCAAGCCTAAAAGACTGAATGTGCCAGCTCTGATCTCAAGCAGGGCCTCTACAGTGCAGGGTGGCAGGCACATAGCCTTGCATGCATTTTACAACCCTTGAATTTTTGCAGACTTTTTAGCTTTTCCACAAAAAAAAAAAAACTTTTCAAGAGAACCACAAAAGTTTGGTTTTCCTGTAGGCTCCAGCTTGTCTCATATAATCAATTTAAGTAAAAGCTCATGTAGTAAATCCATACAGGGTTCAAAGACTATACAGTCAAAACATTATGAGCATTTATTGCATATAATATATATTGTATAGCATTAAATAGGGCTAATACTGTTAGATGCAATGGAAGGCAACAGCTAAAAGTAAATTCCCCCTAGAACAGCAAACAGAAGTCACTTTTAAAGCCAAAAAGCACTGCCCGAAAAAAGGAAAGGTGCCAACTTTGTATCAAGGGAATATCTGACAAAATACAATGAAAACAAAAAAATACGCATCATCTCTGGTTCGATCTTAAACACGCTGCATTCTGTCGATTACTTGTAACTCGTTTGTTCACCTTTTTGTACACGCCAGGTTGATTTCTTTCTGTGGTTCTACTGTAGCATCGAGCGAGAAGTAGATGTTTATCTGTACCCCTGAAGAAGTGCAATTGACATTATGTGCAATACTGTATTTTATACTGTTTTCTAAAAAAAAAGAAAAAGAAAAGCTATTTCATTATTAATAAAAATAGAAAAAAAATAAAAAGGAACATCCACACAGCTCATAAAATTTGAAATGGGAGTGTCTTTTGCACAGCACTGAGCAGCTGAACAGGCAAAGTTAAGTTTGTCAAATTATTTTAAAAAATACATAAAAAAAACTATTAATTCTCAGTTACTCCAACACATACATACAACAGATCACTTAGTGGTTAAATGGTACAACAATTAAAGGTCTAGTATTTCTTGAAGGAATTAATAATGCAGACTCACTTATGGTGAGAAGTTAAGTTGTAGCCATATTGGTCATACCTTGAAAATAATGACAATCTCATGGAAGCGTATGTTGTGAATGACTCCGCTACTACCACATCAAATTTTAGCTTAATATCCGTCAAACTGACTGAGTTTTACCCATTTTTGTAATGGCAAACACTGACAATTGCACTGTTAAAAGCACTTTGTGTTTTCTTTTGGTTTATTGAGTACAAGTAAAAGCCATTTCTCTCCACTCTACTTATTTAGCATGAAAAACCCCAAGAGTCAAAGCTCAAATCTTGGGCAAACTATCTTTGCATGGATAAACAGTTGCACACATCAGAGATTTTTTGTAATTGGCAAAGCAAACTTTGTAAAACCTCATTTCTAGAACAATTTTAAAAAAAATAGGAGGTGAAATACTGATGGTTGAAAACATAAAAAAAACATTTTTTTCTAACTTTGTTTGATGTTTCACTAAGGTAAATGCTCCAGCGTGACCAACTACGGAAGCTCCAACGACATTACGTCTGTCGGAGACAGACTGGTTGAGCTGTGCTCAGGGCTCTGCCCCCATCATAATACCACAGTTAACAGGCTTTCTTCCCATGAGAAACTACAAGCTCCCTCAGCACAGTCAGTCTAGCTAGGTTAGCTTATAAACAGTTCCCAGGTGTCCGGTAAAGGAGTACATCGCCGAACGCAGTTCCTGGTGTCAGCTTGCTTGAACTAGAGATGCACGGTATGATTGGCATGGTATCGGTCGATATTGGCGTTAAAGTTCAATATCGGACATCGGCAATTCCATTTAAAAAACTCACCGATATAAAAGGCGCTGTTTTTGTATGACAACCCAGTGACAAGGATGCCTGCAGTGCCAGCACAACGTGATGACGTCATGTGCGCTATCTGATCTGATCACGGCGGAGAGGAAGAAGTCTAAATGGCGACGGTGTGGAAGGTTTTTGTTGTTGTTGAAGATGTCGGATTCCAAAGATTTATGGACTACGTTGCGCCTCACTACATCGTCCCCAGACGGATATATTTTTCTGATGTAGCCTTACCCGAGTTACAAGCCATCATTTCCGATGTCATTGAGAAGCTAATAGCCGATAGCATGACTTGTTGGGTGAGTTTTACCACAGACATTTGGACATTGTGTTAGCCCTGTTAGCATGATTAGTGTTACGGCACAATGGATAGACATAAACTTTGAACTTAAAAGGCTGTCCTTCATGCACAAGAGTGCAGAGGATCCCACACTGTAGCTAGGAACCTGGAACAAGCCTCCACAAGTGCGACAGCATCGCAGGTGACTAATGCTAACAAATAATATTTAACAATTTTCATTTAATATAAGTTAAAGTGCTCTGCATATCATATGGCTGTTACTGAATATATGTCACCAGCTCTTACAGCAGTTACGCAATTTTTGTAGCAAATAGGCCTAAATAAGACGGCTATGTTCAGACAAAAGAAAGTATATTAAAAATATCGGTATCGGTTATCGGCCAAATAAGTTTTAACATATCGGCCAAAAATTCAATATCGTGCATTCATAGCTTGAACCGTGTTGAGTAAGTTGGTGCTTCATGAAAAGTATCTTTGTTACATTTGTGAGCGGTGACCATGTCAAGGCGAGCTGTTCACAACGCTCAGTTTTTAAATAATCGAGTGGTTACAAGTGTAACTCAAGCTAATGCATCAAGGCGAGCTAGCTTTCCTTAGAGGAAGCATTAGCTTGGCACCTTTAGGGTTTTACTTTCAAGCTTACGTGCTAAGACGAGCAATTTTTTATTTTTTTTAGCCTAGCTGTTAGCCCAGTTTTAACCCTGCGACTAGCTTTAGCGACGGACAGTTAATAAGTCACAACGAATTAGTTCCCATCTCACTATGGCTGTGGCACCCATCCCCACCATAGGGTCGGAACCTAAGGCCAAAGAGGCTGTATCCCGCTCGTGCCCCTCGTCATGCGGGACCTCCATTTTGGGCAGGGACCCTCACCCTATGTGCACAATATGCATGGGCGCTAAACATGCACAAACATCACTAGCGAACCCTTAAGCATGTCTGCCCTGTTCTTCCATGCCAGAAAAAATATCCTAGAAAAGCAGCTGAGAGTGGCGGTCGCGAACAGCCCGGACCGGTGCCTGTCCGTAACCGCGGTAACAGGTGACAGCCATCAACCGTGAGCCACCACGAGCTGGGCGGACATGATGGAAGAGAAGTTCCCGGCCATGCCGCCACTCTTCGAAAGATTGGTGGACAGAGGGGACTTTGAAATAGGTCAGGGGGAGGTGGAGGAAAAACTGGTTAGCGTCTCTTTGATGTGGCTGGGCGGTGCAGCACGAGACTAGAATACAACAGAAGGGGTGAGCAGCACAGAGTGTCTCCTGCTTTGGAGCCCGTTTATGACTGAGGCTCGTAGGACATGGAAACTGTAACGCACTTGGACTAGGAACTAAGTGCAACAAGAACTAAGTGACAAGCTAAGGACAAAGCTCTGAGCAGATGTCCAAGAGATGCAGAGACGGGGGAGGCAGCTTGGCTGGAGGGCAACACCATCCTCTCCCCGCTCTCACCCACAGAAAGGCTGCCTCCATGGGGCTTCCCTTTAAGTGGATGTTTAAAGCCCAGTGTGAGGGCGGTACAAACATGACATCCAGTGCAGCTTAACATCTCGTTGTCTTTTAAACCGAGTCCTTTGTGGTTTAGTCTGAGTGGTTTTCACAAGGGAGGTCGCAAATCTCTCACGAACCGTTGCAGGATGAAAAAACAAGCATTTAAAAGTAAAGAAGCACTCGGTCAGGTTTAGCAAAATGTAGAAAGAAGTCACCCAGTGAGCGAGATATACATTTATACGCACAGAGGCAGGCACACATGTTTTGAGGCATTATGATGCATCGCCATATCTCACTATGCTTCTCGGAGCTCTGCAGCAGTCTGGCCAGCAGGAGAAACAGAGGGGGAGGGAGCGCAGGCAGAAAGATGTGAAAAGAAAACACTTGGATGGAAACTCATAAAAATAATTTAAAAAAAAACCGAGTGAATCTGAA